AGGGGATAAGAAGGGGGGGTTATATAGATTGGGGGAAGGGGTAATCGGAATGCATGCCATCATGGGGTGGGGGGAGGGGAGAGATGGGGAGAAAATTTGGAACTCAAAATCTTGTGGAAGTGAATGTTGAAAACTAAAAATTAATTAATAATAAAAAAGAAAATGGAGATGCTCTTAATACTGCATTTACATGTGTAAATATTGTGTCCCCTAGTAGAACGTAAGCTTCTTGAAGGCAGAGATTAAATTGTTTAGACAGAGGAGGAGTCCTCTATATCCCGGTAAAGTGAGGTCTCATCTCACCTTCTCCCCAGGGACCTTTGTCTTCTACCTGTGCAGGTGCCATAGTTTTCAACTTGAAGTTAATCCCAGTAGCTGGTCCTCCTTCTCCACTCCCTAATTCATCTTATGTCCAGCACCAGTCTGCTCTTCCTAAAGCAGAGCTCTGATTCCTCCCCTGCTCAAACACTTTCAATGATTCCCTATGGCCTGTGGGATAAAGTTCTGCCTCCTCATCCAAGGATTTAAGACCGTTTCAGGGGTGGGGAACCTGCAGCCTTGAGGCCACATGTGACCCTCTAGGCCCTGAAGTGCAGCCCTTGGACTGAATCCAAACTTCACAGAACAAATACCCTTAATAAAAGGACCCCAGACCCCAAGTCTCCACGCAGGGATCTAGGAGTCTAGATGTTCAGGGTCAGTGTGGGGTAAGTATTGGGCCAGAATAGAGATCTCAAAGTCACAGAGTAGAGGTACACAGCAGTGTACCCACTGTCGGGTATATGCCCACTTCTAGCCTCCCCTCCCCCCACAATAATAATCATTCCATTTCCACAGTATTTAAAAATTTACTAAGCATATTGCTCCCAACAACCTTGTTAAGGTAAGTAGTATGAGGATTGCTAGCTCCATTTATAGAGGACAATACTGGGGCTTAGAGAGGTTAATCGATCTGCCCAGAATCTCAAATCTAGATAGCATCAGAGCTGAAATTTGAAACCAGGAGTCCTAACTCTAAGACCACCACTCTCTTTCCACTAAACCAGGGATATCAAAAAAGTGCTACCCCAAACGTGGAACCAGATTAAAATGTAACTGGGAAATATTTAACAAAATAAATAAAAATAATAAAATATAGATAACATTACATTTTAAAACTGAGATTCTTTTGTTCCAATTAATACGTAATTTGGAAATATTTAAGAAAATAAATAAAATTATAATAAATCATAGATAACATTACATTTTAAAACTGGCCCACAAAGATCCTTTTGTACCAATGAATGGCTCTTCTTTCTATTTGAGTTTGACACCACTGCACTTGTCTCCAAATCCTATCAAATCCTTCAATGCCCAGCCGTCTGCTCTAGGAAGCATTCCCCAGCCGTGTTAGCCCAGAACTCTCCTCCTTAGGGCCTGTAACACCTCATCTGGCATGGACCACACATCTCTCTAACACTTTATGGTGTACCAAAAGCTTCCTCTTTGTCTACTTCATCACACTTGATCCTCACTACCCCATGAGGTGGGAAATGCAAGACATTTATCTCCCCATTTTACAGATGAGAAAAGTGAGGTCCCAACAAGGGAAGTTATTTGCCCAAGGTCACAAAGCTAGCAAGTGGCAGAGAGAAAGACTCCAAGCCAGATTTCCAGATTCCAGATTCCATTCCATGGCCCATTCTCAACAGTTTTATGCTGTATGTTATCTTTGCATGTATGGGAGTTTGGAAAGTGTGCAATGCCTAACCAGGCTAGGAACTCCATCTCAATACATCTCTCCCTCAGCATCCTACAAAGGGGAGCTCAGAGCAGGGCCATGAACTTGTGGTCATCCATATAGCCAGATTATTTGGAATGAATGAATAAATGGAGCTACTTTTTTTTTTTTGTGAGGCAATCGAGGGTTAAGTGACTTGCCCAGGATCATGCGGCTAGTGAGGATCATGTGTCTGAGGCCAGATTTGAACTTAGGTTCTCCTGAATACAGAGTTGTTGCTCTATCCACTTCGCCACCTAGCTGCCCATGAATGAATGAATGAATAAATGAATGAATACATGTAGATCAGTGAAGAGTAGCTCTACCCAGCCACATGAGCCCAAATGTGGCTCTTCATGGTCACTCCAGGCTCCACCTATGTGTTAATGACAAAGCCCCAAGGCAGAATGAATAAACATAGGGGGTGGGGGTGGCACAGCTGCTAAGAGGGATACCTCTACCAGGCAGAGGCTCAGCAAGGGTGAGAGGAGTTCGGAAGGATGGGCACCAAGACAGAAAGGACCAGGAACTGATGCTGGGGTACATCCCATAGCCAAAGCTGGCACAATTCCTGTGATCCACTGTGGCAACAGAGCTGGAGAAGTGGTCTCTTTGAGAAGGAAGAAGTGCAAATCCATTGACAAAGGGAGAGAGAACACAAGGGTGGGTGAGAACTTGTGCTTTTGAGTGAGATGGGCTGGTGAAGATAAGTATGGATATGTCCTGTTTACCCACCACCCCCTCACCTCGTGCATACATTTCTGCATTTGTCTGCATGTGAAGAAGCACCTGCCAGGAAACAGAAAGGGTTTGAATCTTGGCTGCCCCACTAACTACCAGCTGGGGAACACCCCCCCCAGCCTCATTTTCCTTACCCATAAAAAGTATAATAATAATACTTTTACTCCTTACATCACACGGTCCCTAAAGAACCTGGTGTAGTGGAAAGAACATCACTTTGGGCGTCAGAGGACCTGGGTGTGAATCTGCTTTGTCACCTTCCAGCAGAGTGGTCTTAAGTGAGTCACTTTTTATTTTCTATGAGACTTAGTTTCCTCATCTATAAAATGACAGGGTTGGACCATCTAGATCAGGGCTTCTTCACCTAGTTTGTGTCCTGAACCCCTCGGGCAGTGTCTAGTGAAGGATATGGTAAGCTCCTTTTCAGAAGCATGTTTTTAAATGCATAAGATAAAATCCCCAGGATTACAAAGAAGATCAATTAGATTGAAATAGTCATTAAATATAAGAAAATCAAGTTCACCAATTCCAGGTTAAGAACCCTTGCTCAAGTCCAGCATGACTCAAGGTTTTGTCTCTCAAGACCCCTTTATACTCTTTAAAATTATTGAGGGCCCCCTACCCCTGCAAAGAGTTTTTGTTTTTGTGGATTATATCTATTGATATTTACATTTTGGGCCCCTGAAAGGGCCTCGGGGACCCCTGGGGGTCCTAGGACCACACTTTGAAAACCACTGATCCAGGGCAGCTAGGTGGCGCAGTGGATAGAGCACTGGCCCTGAAGTCAGGAGGACCTGAG